CTTGATCTCGGCTCACTGCAACCTCCGTCTCCCGGGTTCAAGCGACTCTCCTGCCTCAGTCTCCAGAGCAGTTGGGATTACAAGTGCCCACCACTGCGCCCAGCTAATTTTTTCTATTTTTAGTAGAGACAGGGTTTCACCATGTTGGCCAGGCTGGGCTCGAACTCCTGACCTCAGGTGATCCGCCCACCTCAGCCTCCCAAAGTGATGAGATTACAGGTGTGAGCCACCATGCCCAGCCAGGACTAGACTTTTGTAACAAACTCTTCATGAGATTAAATGAGTCAATATGTCAAAGTAGCTAGCACAGGCCTTGTAGTAACTAGCGATTCAATAAAGCTTCAGTGACTCCAAAAGTTGGCTGAGCAAAGGCTCCCTGCCATGAGAAGTCATCCTGCCCTGCCCGTCATAGGCAGAATAATAAACCCCAAATATGCTAGGCGCGGTGGCTCACACCTATAATCCCAGGACTTTGGGAGGCCGAGGCGGGCAGATCATGAGGCCAGGAGATCGAGACCATCCTGGCTAACATGGTGAAACCCTGTCTCTACTAAAAATACAAAAAATTAGCCAGGTGTGGGGGCAGACGCCTGTAGTCCCAGCTACTGGGGAGGCTGAGGCAGAAGAATGATGTAAACCCAGGAGGCGGAGCTTGCAGTGAGCCGAGATCACGCCACTGCACTCCAGCCTGGGTGACAGAGCGAGACTCCATCTCAAAAAATAAAAAATAAAAATAAAAATAAACCCAAATATGTCCATATCTGAATCCCCAGAACCTGGAAATATGCACCTTATAGGGCAAAAAGGACTTTGCAGATGTGAGGCTGATGGTTCACAAGGGATCTTAACAGGAAGGAGACAGGAGTCAGGGCCCAAGAAGGAGACGTAACCAGAGAAGCAGAGGTCAGACTGATGCGCGGCCCTGAGCCAAGGAGTGCGGCAGCCTCCAGAAGCCGAAAAAGACAAGGAACAGAGTCTCTCCTGGAGCCCGCAGAAGGAACACAGCCCTGCTGACACCTCAGTCAGCGCTCTAAGACCCATGTTGGACCTCTGGCTTTAAGTTGTTGATAATTTGTTACAACAGTAATGGAAAATGAACGCACTCTCCTAGCTCATTCTAGCACCAGAGGTGCTAGCCTCTCACACTCCTGTTAGAATTATTGGGAGGCGGGGCTGGGCGCAGTGGCTCATGCCTGTAATCCCAGCACTTTGGGAGACTGAGCCAAGTGGATCACCTGATGTCAGGAGTTCAAGACCAGCCTGGCCAACATGGTGAAACCCCGTCTTTACTAAAAATACTAAAATTAGCCAGGCATGATGGCAAGCGCCTGTAATCCCAGCTACTTGGGAGGCTGAGGCAGGAGAATCACTTGAACCCAGGAGGCGGAGGTTACAGTGAGCTGAGATCACACCACTGCACTCCAGCCTGGGCGACAGAGTGAAATTCCATCACAAAAAGAAAAAGAATTACTGGAAGGCGGATCTGCTCCCCTTCTCGACTGATAATCCTTTACAGCCAAAAGATGGTTTTCTGTTCATCTTTGGACCTACTACAAGGTCTGACTCAGTGCTTTGTACACAGTAGTTGCCCTATTGATGCTTGCTGAATGGAAGCAGGCAGTAAGAGCCCAGAGTTGGACTTCATTCAGCACCTAATTGTTGCATTCATTGTGTGCAGTCACGGGGTTGGGTGCTCAGAATTCAGTACTGAGTCAGCCGAGCCCTGCCCTTAATGAGAGCAGGCCGTGAGTGAGACAGACACAGAACAGTTCAGTGCAGTGCAATGTTTCTTGCGCAGTGACAAAGGTATGTGTGTACAGGCACCTTGGGAGGCCCAGGGAGGGAGCAACTCATTCAGACAAGGCCACCGAGGATAGTTTCACAGGGAGGGACAGCAAAGCTCGGTTTCGAAGCCAGGGCAGCACTTTGCCAGGCTGTGAAGACGAGGTGGAAAATCGTCCAGGTAGAGACAGGAATGCACCTGATGTGTTTGGCGAATACCCAGAGACCCATAGCTGCATCTGCGTTTCCAGGGGGATGCAGTAGGAGTGCTACGGAAAATGGATCTTGCAAAGAAACACGTTTCTTCATCTCCTGTTAGTTGAGCACCTGCTCTGTGCCAGGCGCTGTCTCAGCTCTAGGAACAAACACCACAAACCGCATTTTTGCTCTCGTGGAGCAGACATTCTAGCAAGAGAAATGGGCAATCAGCAAACCAACGGATGGTCCATTCTCCAAGGAAATACAAAGGGGACTATGAGTGCTTCAAGAGGTTGGGGAAGGCCTCCCCTAGGTGACAGTTAAGCAGGGAATTGAACTGTGGAAAGAGCCAGCCATGTGCAGGGAAGGACACTCCAGGCGGCGGTAACAGCTGGTCCAAGAGCCCTGAGGCTGGACCAAGGTACTCCTTTTTGGGGAACAGAAAGAAGGGCCTGTGTGGCTGGGGTGGAGTGGGCAAAGAAGAGAGTCGAGCCACATCAGGTCAGGAAGGGACAGGGCTGACCCTCAGAGCAGAGGTTCTCATCCCTGATGTACAGAGCTGACCCCTGTGGTGCTCTTAAGAGCAGGACTGAGAACCACGATCCACAGCCCTGTGGGCCTGGGAGCCTCACATCTTCGACAGACAGTTTTTGTTTGCTTGTTTCTCTGCAAACTTCTCAGAGCCCGGAACAAGCCAATGCACAGTGTGACCCTCCACGATGCTAAGTGTTTCCCAAACTCATATGGACATGGAGCCACTTCCAGGAGAAGCTGGTGGAGCTAGGGTTCCTGGGAAACCATTTTGGAAATCTCTGGGCCAATTCACAGGTCATACAATGGAAGAAACGACTGGGACAAAGGATGAAAAGGAAGACCACCATGATAGGATGCTGAAGAGTTTGGACTTTATCCTGTATTAATAGGGAGTCGTCCAAGCATGATTGTGTGTTGTTTTGTTCTTAATGTGTCTGTTTACATAGATTTTAATCAAACAAAAGGGATATTATCGATATCTCCAATGCTTCAGTTTCCCAGTTAATAATATCTCTTGGAAAGCCACCTCGTTCTTTTTAATCCATCATGACCATGAGCTATAATTTACCTACTTCGTCCCTGACGACCACCTCTCTGGTCTGCAAGGCTTTTTGCTTTCCCAAGCAATGGTGTCATAAGCCTCCCTGAATGTAAAGCATGGTGAACTTTTGCAAATACATCTTCAGGGGGAAAGTTTAGCAGTGGGATGACTGGGTTAAAGGATAAATCCTTTCATACTTCGAGAGCTATTGCCAAATTTTCTTCCAGAGTAAAACAAAATGATACTTGGAGTTTGCTTTAAAATAGTCTTACCTCTCCTATAAAAACTGGCAGCGGGAAAGAGAAGAAACCAAAATGGCATCATGTTGACAATTATCAAAACTGGGTGATGGGCATATGGGAACTCATTTTGCTATTCTCTCTACTTTTGTGTACATCTGGAATTTTCCACAGTTAAAAAAAAAGTCACCTTGAAAAGTTCTACAAATTATCACTTGCCCTAATCATAACTGAGAATATCTTTCCCCTTAAACTTCTACTAGCAATGACACCATCAAAGTTTCTTTGTTGCTGTTGTTTTCCTTTTTTTTTTTTTATTTTATTTTTTTTTTTTTGAGATGGAGTTTTGCTCTTTTCACCAGGCTGGAGTGCAATGGCATGATCTCAGCTCACTGAAACCTCTGCTTCCTGGGTTCAAGTGATTCTCCTGCCTCAGCCTCCCAAGTAGCCAGGATTACAAGCACCAACCACCACACCCTGCTAATTTTTGTATTTTTAGTAGAGATGGGGTTTCACTATGTTGGACAGGCTGGTCTCAAACTCCTGACTTCAAGTTATCTGCCCGCCTCAGCCTCCCAAAGTGCTGGGATTACAGGTGTGAGCCACTGCGCCCAGCCTTTCTTTTTTTTTTTTTTTTTTTTTGAGATAGGGTCTCACTCTGTCACCAAGACTGGAGTGCAATGGTGGGATCACCGTTCATGGCTCACTTCAGCCTTGAACTCCTAGGCCTGAGTGACCTCCCACCTCAGCCTCCCAAGTAGCTCAGACTACACGTGTGTGCCACCATACCTGGCTAATTTTTGTATTTTTTGTAGAGATAGGGTCTCACAATGTTGTCCAGGCTGGTCTCAAATTGCCAGGCTCGAGCTATCCTCCTACCCCAACCTCCCCAAGTGCTGGGATTGCAGCCGTGAGCCACCGTGCCTGGCTCTTTTGTCTTTCTTCATAGTTGAAACAGATCTCTCTGTTGCGTCAGTTTCCATTTATTTAATTATGAGTAAAACTGAACTTCTGTTATAGTTTGAATGTATCCCCCAAGTTCATGTATTGGAAACGTAATCTCCAATGCAATACTGTTGAGAAATGGGAAGTTTAAGAAGAGATTAGGTCACGAGGGCAGAGATCAATGGCCTTAGCGATTAATGCCATTACCAGGGGAGTGGGTTAGTTATTGCACTTATGGAGGGAGTGGGTTCCTGATAAAAGGATGAGTTTGGCCCCCTTCCTTCTCTGTCTGTCTCTCTCTCTTCCCCCATTCCCCTCTGTACCGTTCCACTTCCTGCCAAGGGATGATGCAGCATGAAGGCCCTCGCCAGACGCAGGCCCTTAACCCTGGACTTCCCAGCTTCCAGAATTGTCAGAAGTAAATCTCTGTTCTCTGTTAACTCACCCAGTCTCAAGTGTTCAGTTACAACAGCACAGAACAGCCAAAGACCACATCCTTCCCTATATTTCATGGTTGCTTCTTATTTTCCTTCTTGTTTCTTAGGAACTGGCTGTTCCTAACCTTTGCCTCTTCTTGTCTGGGATCTTGTCCTTCCTGGCTTGCGTGAGCTTTTCATAAACATGGGAAGAGGCTTTGGCACAGGTGTTGTGAATGCATTTTCCCAGTTACTTTTTCATTTTCCAACTTTGTTTATAGGTCTTTCTCCATACAGACAATTCTCTCAGGCCACATTCCTTCCTTCTTTTTTCTGTGTCTGGGCATTGAGTAGTTTGAAGAAGGAGCTCCCTTTGGTGGCAGTGTGAATGCTGGATAGGGCAGAGCTGGCCCCAGGGCTGAAGTGGCGGCCTAGGAGAGAGATGTGAGGTGAGGATGGAACACCATGGCCAACAGGGAGCCAGGCCTGAGCTGGGAACAGCAGGATGACTCTGCATTCTCTGAGCTGAGTAACTGGGTGGGTGATGATGTCACTGAGTAGGATGGGGAAGCTAGGACAAGCAGAGTTCACAGAAACACAGCAACTCCCCTCTCTGAGGCACGTCTCACGCTATGTGGTCACACCTTCTTGTATACCTGACTCCCCTTCTAGACATGGGGCAGGGACCCTGCCTCCTTCTCTCTGTCCCTGGAAATGGCCATAGCAAAGAGTACCCAATAACTGCAGATATGAATAAATTAGTGAACAAATTAATAAATGAATGTCCAGCACCTTGGGAGGCCAAGGCGGGCAGATCACTTGAGACCAGGAGTTCAAGATCAGCCTGGCCAACATGGCAAAACCCTGACTCTACTAAAATTACAAAAATTAGCCAGGTGTGGTGGAACACGCCTGTAATCCCAGCTAGTCGGGAGGCTGAGGCAGGAGAATCGCTTGAACCCAGGAGGTGGAGGTTGCAGCAAGCCAAGATCACACTGCTGCACTCCAGCCTGGGAGAGAGAGCTAGACTCTGTCTCGAAAAAACAAAATACGGCCGGGCGCGGTGGCTCAAGCCTGTAATCCCAGCACTTTGGGAGGCCGAGACAGGCGGATCACAAGGTCAGGAGATCGAGACCATCCTGGCTATCACGGTGAAACCCCGTCTCTACTAAAAATACAAAAAATTAGCCGGGCGCGGTGGTGGGCGCCTGTAGTCCCAGCTACTCGGGAGGCTGAGGCAGGAGAATGGCGTGAACCCGGGAGGCGGAGCTTGCAGTGAGCTGAGATCCGGCCACTGCACTCCAGCCTGGGCGGCAGAGCGAGACTCCTTCTCAAAAAAAAAAAAAAAGAAAAAAAAAAAGAAAAAACAAAATACGGCCAGGTGCAATGGCTCACGCCTGTAATCCCAGCACTTTGACAGGCTGAGGCAGGCAGATCATAAGGTCAGGAGATCAAGACCATCCTGGCCAACATGGTGAAACGCCGTCTCTACTAAAAGTACAAAAATTAGCTGGGTGTGGTGGCACGTTCCTGTAATCCCAGCTACTCGGGAGGCTGAGGCACAAGAATCACTTGAACCCAGGAGGCGGAGGTTGCAGTGAGCCGAGATTGTGCCACTGCACTCCAGCCTGGCAACAGAGTGAGACTCCATCTCAAAAAAATAATAATAAATTAAGATAAAATAAATTTTGCTGGGTGCAGTGGTTCACACCTGTAATCCCAGCACTTTGGAAGGCTGAGGCAGGCAGATCATCTGAGGTCAGGGGTTCGAGACCAGCCTGACCAACATGGAGAAACCCCATCTCTACTAAAAATACAAAAAATTAGCCAGGCGTGGTAGCGTATTCCTGTAATCCCAGCTACTCGGGAGGCTGAGGCAGGAGAATCGCTTGAACCCGGGAGGCAGAGGTTGTGGTGAGTCGAGATTATGCTATTGCACTCCAGCCTGGTCAACAAGAGCGAAACTCTGTCTCAAAAATAAAATAAAATAAAATAAAATAAAATAAAATTTATGTTAAATAATTTAAAATTTATAAATTTTATTTTATATTATAAACAGATTTAATTATTTAAATATAAATTTATAATTAAAATTTAATATTTTTAATTTAATTTAATTTAAAAATCAGTGAGTAAATGGCTTGAGTGTGTGGTCCCCCTGTCCAGGTGGAGATGCTGGGAGGTGGAAGGCAGAATTCACAACTGAAGGGATTTTCTCCTTCCTAATCGCCTCCCCCAGTAGTTGATGGGGGCTACCACGCCTCAAGCCAAGCAGGGGACCTGGCAGTGTTCACCCACCAGCTGCGTGGACGCCTGTAACTCTTTAGGGCAGAAGACCAAGGGTGCGTCTGGTCCACAGAACCAGAGCGATGGAGAAGGCTCCTTGGATGAGGCAGGGTGAGGAAGGAGACAGACAAGCAAGTCCTCCTCCCAGAGGCAGGGACAGGAAGCAGGAGCAAGGGATCACCAGGGAAGCTCCAGGGGCTAGAACCCAGGGAACTTTCTAGAAAGGTTGGCTGGCCCTAACAGACCCCCGGCCTGGAGGAAGACCTCCAGGGCAGGTTAGGAGGGCCAGTCACATCTCCGGGGAGTGATTTCAAAGTCACCACCTGGGGACAAAAGGATGGAAGCATTGACCAGACAAATGCCTGACCCGGCAGCAGCAGAAAGGGATGCATGGAACCCTGTGGGGTTCCCAAGTCATGAGGTCGTCTCTCCTCACTCCTTTGCTCCGTGGCTCCCAAGGGGCAGGCCCTAGTGCTCTTCATGGAGACCCCAGGCCCAGCCGCCTTCCAAGGCTGATGCCCTGTTAGGCTCCGGCCGCCCGGTATCCCCAAATCTGTAGCAGGAGCGCTCTCTGCTGGCCACCTTGGGTAGCGCCTCTGCGCTGCAGTCCCGGGAGGAGCCCGCGAGGCCGGGGGAGGAATGCAGGGGCCCTGGAGGCTCATCCTCCGCCTGCGCTCTTCAAACCACTCCTTCTCCCCCAGGGTCCTGGCTCCTCCTCGCCATCTTCAGCTCCACCGTCTCCAGTCCCTTAACTGCCAGGGACTGGGCTGGGCCTTGTGTCCAGGCGCATGAACACAAGATTCCCCACTGAAGCTGACCTGCGCTGTGTTATCATCCCTATCCCCCATCCTTCATCTCAAAAAAGCCCTTCCCTGCCTTTGGCACGTCTCCCTCCCCCACGCCCACCCGCTCAGGTCCCTCTGTTAAACTGCTAACTCCAAAGCCAGCCTTCCTTCCAGCCTGCCCGGCCCCAAGTCCGAGGGTCCCTGGAGCAGACACGCTCCACCCGCGGGGACCTCTCCCTCCTGGCAACTCCTGAGGAGCGGCAGCGGCTTCTGGGCTTCCCACGCAGCGTGTGACACCAACGGGGGACACAATACAAACGAACGAGGGTTGAGTCCGTGTGCGCACCTGTGCGTAGCCACATGCGGATGTGCGTCCAGGCGTGCCCTGCAGGTGTGTGCGCAGTGACTGCGCCCACCCTTCTGTGGGGTCTCGCCACGCTAAGCTGGGTGGGCTTCTTCCAACCCTGGCTGGGGCTGAGCAGGAGGAAGCTGCAGCCTCGCCCCCAGAGGGCAGCACTGAGCTGCTCTCGCCCGACTTGGGCCAGACTCCACCCAGAGAGGAGTCCTGAGTTTCCCCTCCAGGGCCTGGCGGGAAGGACTTCAGATCTGTAAAGGAAGGCAAGGAATCAAATCCCAAATCAAGGCTATCGGTTACACTGCGGGCAGAGCGCGAGGCGCACGTCCAAGCTAAAATGTCTAAAATTGGGCAGTGGATTCACGGATATTTATTGTGCTTTTATTCTCTTTCTTTTTTTTTTTTTTTTTTTTTTTTTTTTTTTTTGAGGCGGAGTTTCACTCTTGTCCCCCAGGCTGGAATGAAATGGGGTGATCTCGGCTCCCTGCAACCTCCGCCTCCTGGGTTCAAGCGATTCTCCTTCCTCAGCCTCCCAAGTAGCTGGGATTACAGACGCGTGCCACCACGCCCGGCCAATTTTTGTATTTTTAGTAGAGACAAGGTTTCACCATGTTGGCCAGGCTGGTCTCGAACTCCTGACCTCAGGTGATCCGCCCGCCTTGGCCTCCCAAATTGCTGGGATTACAGGCGTGAGCCACGGCGCCCGGCAGTGCCTTCATTCTTAAATCCTACACATATTTTGTAAATATTATTTTGAATCTATTCAGTGTTACTCTTATTAAGATAAAGGCCTCTGAGCTCTCTCCAGAATGTGGAAAGACCACTCATCACTCAGTCAACACTCCTGGAGCAAAGTGAGCCTCCAAGCTCCCCAGCTCACCCCCAGAATCCCCAGAATGCAGAGGGCTCTGAGTGTCTCTGGGGTTGCCTGTGGCTTTAGGGAAGGGGAGAGCCTGGACCCAGGCTTCTTTACCGCCTGGAGTCCCGGGTTAAGCACTCCTGCAGGGTAAGCCACACATCGACACGTAGCTCACACACACACTCACACTCCCAGATTCATACACAGGTGCATGCTCACAGGTTGACACACACACGCTCAAAGACTCATACACACATGTTCACACATAGCTCACATGCACATACACACACTGAGACTCTCAGACACACAGACTGATACACGCACATTCACACATAGCTCATACGAACATTTAAACTCCCAAATTCACACACAGGCTGACACACACACACTCTAAGACTCATACACACACATTCACACGCAGTTCACATGCACACTCACACTCCCAGATTCACACACAGGCGCATGCTCCCAGATCGATACACACACACTCAAAGACTCATATACACACATTCACACATAGCTCACATGCACATCCACACACACACTGACACTCTCAGACACATGTGCACACAAAGACTCACACACACACGTTCACACACAGCTCATACACTCACACTCCCAGATTCACACATAGGCGCATGCTTACAGGCTGACACACACACACTCTAAGACTCACAGCCATTCATGTGCAGCTCACATGTACTTTCACACACATACACTGACACTCCCAGACTCACACAGCAGCACCTGCTCACAGACTTCCCCATACGCACACACACTCACACTCACAGAGTCGCGTCCACACTGCCACCCACTCATGGGCACACTTGTGCAAACTTACACACTCACACAACCTCTCACGGGTTCACACCTTACACACTCACACAAAGATGTCATTGCCACTCTGGCCTGTTCATCTTACATCCTCACCAGGAGAGAGAAGGGGCTTGTATCCTCCCTGATTGCAAGAGAGATTTCTAGAATGTTCCCAGGAGACCCCAGTCCCAGGATAGAGGGATATTCCTCCCGGACTGAGGAAGCAGAGTTGGGGCCAGGACCGGGCCTCAGAGGAACTCCCTGGGCCTCCTGCACCCACTCACTAGCTCATCCTCTCACTCCCAGCCTGTTCGTGGGAGGGCCTGGCCTGGGGACATGACAGGGGACACACAGCAGGCCCTAATTGTGGGGAGCTCCCGGACCTCACGAGACACCATGCAGGCCTGGACAGGTCGGCCTGTGGGAGTATCCACGAGGGGTCCCTGCCCCAGCCCCAAGGCAGAACAGCTGGGGAAAGGATCTGAGTGGGCCCAGCACAGCAGGAGACACAGCAGACGCCAGCCTTCCAGGCAGGGTGATAGGCACATGCCATGGCAGGGGGCACCCTCAGGGAAGCGTGAGATGTCCTGGGCCAGGGGAGCTGGCTGGAGAGGCAGGGGGTGGGGGCTGGGCCTCGCGAGGTGGGCAGGGGCCCGCCTGGGAGAGGCCCTGCTTGCCACACGAGGGAGCGGGGCCTTGCTCCTGAAAGTCACCTGGAGCCCTGATGAACTGCACAGGACAGGAGAGGACACAGATGCTCTGCAGAGGCGCACAGCTTGTACCCAAAACCTGCAGGAGGGCAGGTGGCCCTCAGCCTCCATTCCAAGAGCAGAGAAGGCCCAGGAGCCCACCACTGGTCTAGGGGAACCCCCCACAGGTACAGCCACGTTCTTCCCTGATTCGTCAGAATGAGGCCCCTGTAAGTGACAGAGGGTCGGTCTGTGCAGACCTGGAAACACAGTACCAAGACCTGGGATCCTGAGGAAGCAGAGCCAGCTTCTCCCAGACAGCCCTCCCCAGCTGGCCCGCTGGCTCCAGCCCAGCCAGGAGAAAGGGCAGTGGGGGAGGCCCACAGGAGGGAGCGGGGGCTCAGGAGGCCTGGTGGGGCAGAGCTGGGACAGCTGGGCAAAGGGGCTGGGTTCTGGCTCTGCGATGAGGGCCCGTTCCTGGGTGAGGTAGGGTGGGGCTACTGCAGCCCACACATTCCAGCTGCTGCCACTCCCGCCAGCCAGTGCCAGCCTGTTCTCACCTGTTCCCATGAGGTCCCAGGCTGCCCTGGGCCCAGCTCTCAGTGCCAGCTCCCAGAATCCTTCAGGGTTCAGACTCTACAGGGACCCCAGTGCGGATGTCCAGAAGCCCACCCCACAGAAACAAGTGCCTCTGCCACCAACACACCTGCACGCACACACCCCACCAACACACACACACCCCACCAACACACACACACCCCAACACACACACACCCCACCAACATACACACACACCACATACATATAAACACGACACACCACACACTACACACACATCACACACCACACACACATCACACACCACACATACCACACACACACGCACACACATGCATACACACTCTCTCTCATGACCTCTAAGAACATGGCTTTGGCATTCTGTAAACATGGCCACTTTGTCTTCTGCACAAACCCTGCCCTGGAGGGTCCTACAGAGCAATGCCACCAGTGCCAGGTGAGGGGTGCAAGAGATGAGTACAGTGGCCAGGGGGCCAAGGGAGCCAGGGGAGGCAGGGGGACCGGGGAGCCAGGGGAGCCAGGCGGCAGTCAGGTTAGGCCCAGCTGGCCCTGGCGGTTAGGCCTGCTCAGTTTCCTGGGTGGAGAGCCAGGCCTGGTGCTGCCTACGAGGGGCTTTGTCTGTTCCTGCCCGGGACCTCCACTAGGTGGGTATTCCTGCAATTTCCCCTTGGAAGCAGAGATACTGGCAGTGCCAGATCAGATATTGGGGTTGGTCCTGGCAGCGGGGAACCCAGGGAAACCCTGGTGAGTCAGGGTGCTCCTGATGTTGGGACCAGCCAGCGCCTCATCACCACCCCTTGCTGTGCCCCCAAAGCCTCCTGAGCAAGGAGATGGGGGCTGGGTGGGTCTCTGCCAGATGCAGATGGGCCCACTGAGGCAGAGGAAGGGGTGCTGGGAACAAACTGGCCCTCGGCTCAGCCTGACCCAGGGTCACTTCACAGAACTTAGGGCCTCGAGTAGGGTCTGGGAGGGGTTGCACAGGATGAGCCTGTGGGGGCTACTAGTGTGTCCTGGGGCTTCTCCCTCTGAGGCCTTGGGTGGTCAGCCCTGAGCTTCAGCAAATTCCAGATTCTACACGCACATGTATCACCTTCACAAGTGCTTCAACTTCTGGGTTGCTGGAGGGGCCTCACTCTTTGGTGCATGGCCATGACCTCAATTGGAACCCCTCTTGGGATTTCCAACCATGCCAACAACAGCAGCAGTAATCACAACCAACCTTATGCTTCTTCTGGGCCCCTCCCTCCGTGTTTGCATTGAAACCGCCCAGATGACCTTGTGGGAAAAGAAAGCTTTGCCCTAGGTTTGAGGTGAGGCCAGTCATAACCTCATTAATTAATTAACGAATCACTTAATTAAACTAACGAACCCTCGGGGCCAACTCTGGGCCAGGGCACTGTGCCCAGGGCTGGGGATTCCAAAGAGAAGGAAACAGACATGGCCTTGTCTCCCTGGAGCTCACAGTCCAGTGGAGGAGGAAATAACCAAAAAAGTCATAGAAATAGGTATAAATTCACAACCTGGAGAAGGAAGGAGGTATGACCCAGAAAAGAGATGCAGAAGGGAATCCAGGAGGGCTTTCTGGAGGAGGTGGCAGCTGAACCTAGAGGTGAATTTAGTTGGGAAAGAGGGAGTGAGACCTAGGCAGCCATGAACCCCATAGTGGCAGACAGCTGCATAAGGGTCTCTCTCCTGGCATCCGTGTTTACCCATGCCTGAGCATCCTACCCCCATCATCCTTTAACCTCCTGAGGGCCTTGGCTGGGTCCCAGAAATTCCCAGGAGGGTGCTCAGAGAAGACCATGGGCACTCTCATCACCCTCACCCTGGCTCATTTCCGAAAAGGCTGCAAGAAGGGTGTTGGAGGGTCTCCTGGAGGCTGCCAAGGGCATTTGCTCATGGAGCCCACGTCTCTCCCAGATCCCGGTGGCTGTGATCGCTAATTCCAGCTTCGTGCTGGCTGCAGGTGGATGATGCCCAGCTGGCTGCCGATGACTTCTGCACCAAGTGAGGCTGGGTCTCTGGAGCTGCCCCAGGGACTGGACAAGCTGACCCTGGCCGGAGCCAACCTGGAGATGCAGACTGAGAACCTCAAGGAGGACCTGGTCTACCTGAAGAAGAACCATGAGGAGGTGAGGTCAGCTCAGGGAACGCAGCAGAAATTCACCTGGAAGCAAGCGAGGCTGGAGCCCAGAACCTCCCTGGGCCGGGCCGTGTTTTCAGTCCAGTTCCCATCTCTTATGGATGCCCAGCCCTGACCCTCAGACGACCCTGAGTGAGGCCTGGAGGAGCCTCTCCCCAAATAGACTTCATTTGTACCTTGAGGCTCAGCTCACTGAAGTTAACTAACTAATGAGTAACTCAGTGTAAGAACACACAATGCTAATTATTATAATTAATTATAATAGTGATAGTCATGAAAACAAGGAACTTCTGCCCAGCACTGCAAATGGCTCAGAGCCATTATCTCAGCTGATACTGCAGGTGGGAGACAGATACTCTTTCCTCCTTTTGACCCGTGAAGAAACTGAGGCTCAGAGAGGTTAAGGGATTTATCTACGGCTGCACAGGGACCCTCCTTCAGGTCTGTTGGACTCGTATCCACTCCACCTCTCTGCCCCCTCTCCTGCCTCTCCTTTCCAGAAGGCTCTAGGTCCCAGGGACTCCAAGGCTCAACCCAAGGATAGCGAGCCAAGGTTCTGCCGGGGCAGCCAGGAGGCCTTACATGCCCTGTCCTGTGGCTTCCTTCTCTGCCGAGCTCCGTGCTGCTCTGAGCTGGGGGAGCCTACTCCCTGAGAAGCGGGACACCTGGAAGGGGTTTTCCCCTGGCTTTGATGCTGGTTATACTATTGCTTTCTTCCAGCAGATTAACATTTGCTAACGGGGCCTGGCGTGGTGACACCAGTGTTGCTTTCTGCATGCCTGTGCTGTGGGGTTGGTGGTGGGGGCAAGGTCAGGGCAGTGAGTGAGGTCATCCGTGGTCATCCTCCGCCGTGCTGGGGGGTTGTCATCTCTCGGGGCTTAGCACTCGTTGGGGATGGGTGAAGTCCAGTCCCGAGTCACGGTGTGTGTTGGGGGAGGTTGCTGATACTTATAATAGCCCTGTATGTTTGAGAAGTGACAACATCTACCTCCACCTTCAGGGTGAGGAGCTGTTGGCCTATTTGTGTCTGTCTGTCTGTCTGTCATCTGTACCTGTCTCCTCGAGGTAGAGAAGGCAGGTCCCAGGGTCCTTCCTCAGAATAGCCTTGGGTGAGCTCCTGCTGTACTCTCTGCCCAGGAAATGAACGCCCTTTGAGGTCAGGTGGACGAGGATGTCAGTGTGAAGATGGACACTGTGCCTGGAGTGAACCTGAGCTGCATCCTGAATGAGATGTGTGACCAGGACAAGAAATTGGTGGAGAAGAGCTGCAAGGATGCCGAGGGCTGGTTCTTCAGCGTGCTGGGTGGCCGTGTGTAAGCAGGTGTGCACACGTGGTGGAGAAGAGCTGCAAGGATGCCGAGGGCTGGTTCTTCAGCGTGCTGGGTGGCCGTGTGTAAGCAGGTGTGCACACGTGTGGGCACATGTGCTGCATGCTGGTGCAGCTGGAACACTGGCAGATCCACAGGCCGTCCCAGTTGGAAGGACTTTTGGAAACCAGTTGGACCAGCCCCTCATGTTTTAGATGTAAAATGTGAGGCTCAGAGAGGACTCAAGCTCACACAGCCCTTCACTGTGGCCTGCGAAATAGATCCAGGTCTCTACAAGCCTGGTCTTGGGTTTCCACCACAGCTGTTTACAAGATGTGTGTGTTTGAATACATATGCATACCCTTGGCAAGCACAGGCTAAGTGTCTCCGGTGTCCTAGGGACAGCGACAGGCACAAAATAATAACACCCAGTGCCTGTCTTTGAGGTGCTGCAGTTCGGTAGGAGTAAGAAATGCAAATGACCGCAGAGCAGGCTGAGTTCCCCCAAGTTCCAGTGTGGGTGCAGAGGGTCTCTGTGTGCAGGTGCCTTTGGGGCCCCACAGAGGCCAGGGAAGGGCTAGGGGATGGTTCTGGGAAGTGAGGGTTCAGGAGCAGCCCCTTTCCTGTGCCCCACTTCTGAAAGCCTCCTTACTCCCCGGTGGCCCACTCTGTCTTCCAGAGAGAGGGGCTGAACTGCGAGGTGGCCACCAACACAGAGGCCCTACAGAGCGGCAGGACAGAAATATGGAGCTCTACAGCTCTGTGCAGAACCTGAAGTGTCCCAGCTCAGCCAGGTAGGGCCTCTGTCCCCTCCCCACCCTGTAGCTGTCACCCCAGGGTGAGCCCAGCCTTGTAGACCCCTGCTTGGAGAACCAGAGTCCCCACCCAGCCTGCCCCTTCACACTCAGTGGCTGGGTGCATTGCCACCCCACTGTGCCGGCAGCACCCACAGCCCCGTACAGTAGGGGCTCCTCTCCAGTGCTCTGCTGTGGGGAAGCGTCCCAGGTCTATCTCATCGCACTACTTATCTCTTGGTTCACAGAAAGCATCACTGGAGGGCAGCCTGGTGGAGACGGAGGTGTGTTATGGGACCCAGCTGGCCCAGTTGCAGGGGCTCATCAGAAGCATGGAGCAGCAGCTGTGCGAGCTCTGCTGTGACACGAGGACCACGAGCACCAGGTCCATGTGAAGACATGGCTGGAGCAGGAGGTCGCCACCTACCGCCTCTTGCTGGAGGTTGAGGACGCCCAGTGAGTGTGCACCCGGGTACCTGCTGGGGTGGGCTGGGGGCCCGCTTCACCCAGGGAGAAGTTGGTGTCTGAGCACCTGCGATGTCCAGGAGGTGTGAATGTGGGAACCTGTGGGGGTTTGCAGGAGGTGAAACTGAGGATACAGGCTGGAGTCTGACTGAGGAGCCTTGAATGCCAAGTTAAAGCGTCTGGACAAGATCACGTAGGCAATGGGGAGCCATGGAGGGATTTGGAGCAGAGGAAGGGAGTGAACATCAAGATATTTTAGAACATTCACTCTGGCTGCAGAGGGAGAAATGGATCAGAGGGGTCAGGCTGGGGCCAGAGAGATGCATCGGGGGCTGGAGCAGGGAGTCTGGCCAGAGAAGTCCTGCGTGGGGGGCAGGGAAGGAAGGTGGTGCACGCAGAAGAGAGGTTATAGCTCAAAACAGCAGGACTGCATGCCTGGATCTTGGGGTGAGCGTGGCTCACAGTCAGGACTCAGTAAGTGTCGCTGAACACATGAAGGAGTGGGCATTGATGACCCTGGCTTTCTGGTTCCGATGACTGTGTGAGTGGTGATACCATCAGCCACAGGGTGAGGAGCGAGGTGGGTGGGGGTCGGGTTTGCAGTCGGGAAGGGTGATCAGGCCTCCAGTTGAGAGTGTTCTGGAGTCTCCATGCTTAGTCACACGTTGCAGCTTTTTGCTCCCCGAAAATGGTGAAGTCCATCTATAGTCTAACCACAGTGTCTCCTGCTTTAATTGGTTTTTTTTGTTGGGTCCTCTGGGATATGGAAAAGCCACTTGCTCTGCTTCTCCTTGTAAATTCCTGGTGAGTAGTCACACAGTGCTGCCAGGCCTACGCTGTGCGTTTCTTTTTCTTCTTCCCGCTGTGCGGGGCCCCTGCCCTTTCTTCCTGGGCCTGTGCTGATTTCTGTGCATTCCCAGCTGCGATTTTTCACCAATTTGGGGGAACCTCCTCTGCCAGGGCCTGCTTCTCCCCAGCAGTGCTTGCAGGGGCCTGGGCTGGCTGGCATCCCCGGGCTGATGGGTGCTCCTCTCCCTGCAGGCTGGCCACTCAGTACTCCTTGTCCCTGGCCTCACAGCCCACCCGGGAAGGTAAGAAGCTGCCCTGTCCTGCTGTGTGGACCCCAAGGCAGGGGAGAGGCTGAGGACCCTTCTGTGTGTGAGACTGGGGGGAACACAGACTGGGGGACAGGTAGGGGGAAGAACTCCTGCCTGATGTTCCCTGCGCCCCCCCCCGCCTCCATCGCCTGCAGCCACAGTGACCAACCACCAGCTGTGCCATCGTGGCGGAAGTCCAGGTTGGAGAGGTGGCCTCCTTCTGTGAGCAGATCCAAGTCTCCACCACCGAGGCCCCTTTCTGCCTGTGACAGCCCCACCTCATGGGCCATGGCACAGCCCTCAGCTCCAGCTCCAGCATGATACTGCCATGCTCCGAGTGTCCGACTGGGCCCCGGTCCATGGCCTGTGGTCTTTCTGTATCTACTTCCTGTAGCCCCACACTGAGGAGGCCTCCTGGGTTTGTCCAGTGCCTGCTGTTAAAGCTTTGCCCCAAGTTCAATGCCTCGTGTGATCTGGTCTATTCATTGGTTTGGGGCAGTGTGGGCTGAGGGACTGGGGGAGGTGGATAATTTATTGAGTGTTTGGGTATCGGCTTGTCACCTGCCAATCTGTGCTGCCCACTCCATCCAGGCCTGGGACTCCTGGGAAGATGAGAGGGGAGGAGGCGGAAGGATTAAGGGTGGAGGGATGGGACAGCCCCTTGTATTGGGAAAAGTTTCTAAGAATCAGCCCCTGAGTCCCTGTCACCTGTGGCTGGTCCCTGGGACAGCCACACAGACTTTCCAAGGACCACGCCTGTTGGGGAGCACTCCCTGCCTCAGCCCAGGGTGTGCTCGAGAGCAGAAAGAGAGGGGCTCGGTGGGGAGGGACTTCTGAAGGAGTGGTCCAGGGCATTGATGAGTGAGAGGGGGTGGCAGCGACGCAGCCAGCCCAGGAAACCAGACCGGCTCTGCCCAGCTCGGGGTGTGTGTGTGGGGTGGGGTGGCCGCTGTGTGTGTATGCGTGGGGGGCGTCCTGTTTGCTTTGGTGGCTTGGCAGCCACTGGGCTATTGAGGAATCTCTTTCAGCTGCTGGCGGGGCTGTCTGGGCCTGTCTGGGAAGTAGAAGCCATTGGCAGTCTGAAATATGACCACATTCCACCCAGTGGGCCTGGAGGGACCCTGGTACCCAGGGCCGGGCTTGGGGTGGTGGGCAGGGAAGGGTGGGGCTGTGGGGTGGGGCACATGGCACACCTGAGGAGCCACATTTTGGGGAGCCTGGAGTGGGGAGGGGGCTGGCTGGGGTCTCAGTAAAAGCCTCTTCTTGGGCAATATACTTTAGGTTTCCTGTGGGCTGAGACCTGAGATAAATGCCCCTCACCTGACCCTGAGGTCTCTTGGGGTACAGAGGGGTGAGGGGAGTGGAAGGGGGCTTCCCTCTCTCAGTTGGTTTAGATCCTGTCTTAGCACAGCCCACCATTTCCCCATCCTATAGCTGAGCCCCTGTTTACCCACCCCAGCCCTGGGGTATAAACCTGGGGAAAGGTCTACATGAGGAGACTGAGTTAGCAAGGGCTTCTCGGGATGGGGCAGGGCCCGAAGCTGACTGGATGGAACTCTAGCCCCTAGAGTGCTTTTCTGAAGGGGCCAGTGTGGACACTGCACCCCTCTGGAGCCCCAATTTCTTTATCTGCGACGTGGGTTGGTCTCCGAGGCTTGATGGCATTTCTGTGCTGCGCGGTGGGCCTGGTGGGTTTGGGCTCTGTTTCCAAGGCAGGATAGGCTCTCAGTCCCCTCTGTCTCTTCAGCACCCAGCCCCGGGCCAGCACCGTGGGTGGAGCAGTGTGGGGTGAAAGACAGCAACTTCAGGGGGGTCACCTGACACTGCAACCCATTTCCCCACCAGACAGGGTTGAGGCGGGCCGGGCTGGGGTGGTGGCTGCCTGGGAGGGCCTGGGGACGGTGACGTCCTGCCTTCTGCTCTTCTCCGTATTAGGTCATGGGAAAGCATAGCTGGAGGGCCCGCCTGAATCACAGGTGACGGGCCTGAGACCAGAGGCACGCACACGCACACGCACGGCACCCAGCATGAGGATTTGGAGAAATGAGGCAAATTCCTGATGATGGGCGGGGAGGGGGCCCCCAGCCACCTGGAAGCTGGCAGGTGGCCAGTGGTGATGAAAGCTCAGGGGAATGGAAACAGAGGAGCAAGCCTGTTGTAATCGCTACGCCCACTTGGTGGCCTATAAAGGAAGCGGGCAAACCCCGGCAGCCCTACACACCTTGGGGCCCCTCTCCTCTCCAGCTGTTCTCCTGTGTGCCTGCCTCCTGCCGCTGCCACCATGACCACCACCATCCGCCAGTTCACCTCCTCCAGCTCCATCAAGGGCTCCTCCGGCCTGGGGGGCGGCTCATCCCGCACCTCCTGCCGGCTGTCTGGCGGCCTGGGTGCCGGCTCCTGCAGGCTGGGATCTGCTGGAGGCCTGGGCAGTGCCCTCGGAGGTAGCAGCTACTCCAGCTGCTACAGCTTTGGCTCTGGCGGTGGCTATGGCAGCAGCTTTGGGGGCGTTGATGGGCTGCTGGCCGGAGGTGAGAAGGCCACCATGCAGAACCTCAATGACCGCCTGGCCTCCTACCTGGACAAGGTGCGCGCCCTGGAGGAGGCCAACACTGAACTGGAGGTGAAGATCCGTGATTGGTACCAGAGGCAGGCCCCGGGGCCCGCCCGTGACTATAGCCAGTACCACAGGACAATCGAGGAGCTGCAGAACAAGGTAAGGCCTGCTGGTGGGAGGGGTCTCTGGGGGGCATGACGTCTTCCCCCCAACTCCTGCCCTGGCCAAAGGCCTGGAGTCCAGCCACAGGGTCTCAGGGAGCCAAGGGTGGTTTGGCTGTGGCTTAGCTTCTGGGAACCTGCCTTGGGGCCCCTGTGTGGCCCACATCCCCCTTTTCTGAGGGCAGCAGGCTGAGTCACGAACAAACAGGCCTCGTGGAGCCCCTTGGAGCCTCAGTTTCTCCCTCGTGGAGCTCCTCCACCTGGAGAGGTTGTAGGATGAGGCAGGAGGATGCAGAGGGAGGGCTGGGCCCCTGGGCCGCTGGATGCGTGGTGTCTTGCTCCTTTGGAGCAGGGGTCAGCCGGAGGGGATTTTGGGTGATGTGGAGTGGAGGTGTCTGAGTGAGCTCCTGACAGCACCTGCTGCGGGGGGAGGTCCCTGTGGGGCGGGACCTCAGGGTGGGGAAGGCCTCTGATGTGCCTTATTTGGGGATTTTTCTGGCTTCTTCTTTCCTCTTGCTGTCCCTTAAGACGGTCTCAGCAAACCCCAGGGGGCGGGGCTGCTGGCTGGAGCCCACGGTTAGGGATTAGGAGGGGTCCTGACTTCTGATTTGGAACCACTCTTTGGTGAGGGCTCCTTTAGCCTCCTTTTGGGGAAGCCTGTCAGGGGCACCCTCTAGCTGGCTGTGAAACGAGGGGATTGCCCACATCCCCTCCCTTGTTCTAGAATTCTGGGACAGCTTCTGCCCTGGGGACATTTTCCCATTCTTTTCTGGTTGCCTCATACTCCCAGCCAGCTGTCTCTTCTCCTTTAAGGCTGAGCTTGGCATGGGGGTCTGGTGGGGGAGGCAGGTACTGAGTAGCGGGGGAAGAAGAGGCACCTTTCAGCTCTTCAGACTCCTGCTTGCCCCTCCTCTGCCAATAATACAGCACAGGGCAAGGAAGGGACTGGCAGGGAAGAGAGGCCCCCAGGCAGGAAGATCTGCTCAGAATGCTGGTGTGGGCTCAGCCACCCCCATCCAATGACCTGACTACTCTCCCATCTCCTCAGATCCTCACAGCCACCGTGGACAATGCCAACATCCTGTTGCAGATCGACAATGCCCGTCTAGCTGCTGATGACTTCCGCACCAAGTGAGTCCTGGCCAGTGGGCTTGGGCAGCCTGGGCCAGCTGGGAGAGGATCTCGGGGTATCCCTCCTGACCCCAGGACTCCTCGGTTGCTTGTGGCAGGGCCCAGGAGCTCAGGGTGGGGCAGTCCTAGGAGCCTCACTCCTTAGTCCAGGATGCAGGGAAGGCAGCCAGTTCTGAAGATTGCTGGGCTTAGGCAGGGAATAGAAGAGAGGGAGGGGAGGTGGGAGGCGTAGAGAAGTAAGGAAGCTGGTGGGCATGGGATCTGGCCCTGTGATGGTCCCTGGGCCCCAGGACTGGAATTCGTTTCCACTCGACCTTCTCATCAGCCCTTCCAACCCCTTAGAGTCCTGGCAAAATGAAGGCAGGTGAGCAGCCAGTACCTGGACCTGCAGGTCCAAGCAGCCTGGGCTGAAGTCTCTGATTCCCACGGCAGGTTTGAGACAGAGCAGGCCCTGCGCCTGAGCGTGGAGGCCGACATCAATGGCCTGCGCAGGGTGCTGGATGAGCTGACCCTGGCCAGAGCCGACCTGGAGATGCAGATTGAGAATCTCAAGGAGGAGCTGGCCTACCTGAAGAAGAACCACGAGGAGGTGAGGTGGCTGGGGCAGAAGGTCAAAGAGGCTGAGGAGTGGGTGGCAGAGCCCTGGGGCTGGGCCATGGCTGAGGCTGTGGGAGAGAGCAGAGCAGGCGCATGGGATTAGTCACCTTAGAGGGCTTCCCTGTCTGCAGAGCCCTGATCCTTGGGGTCCAGCGTGCAGGGTAGACTCCTCTTTGTACTACACGGCTTCTCTGTACCCAAGGAACCTCCTAGGGGCCCTCAGAGGCTCCCTCTACCTGCCCTGGCCTACCTCACGAGGGCAGGGGATAAGTAAGGAAGTCTCCTTCTTGTTCCATTTCAAACTCTCAAAGCTGAACATCTACAGAGAAGCTTGGAAATTAGAGTGGAAATTTTTGGGGCCTAGGTCTAATAATTAGATTTTAGTTTGGAGAGCCCTTGGTCTAATGAGGGAGATAGAGTCTGATGGTGGAGATAATACTGAGCAGATGAATAAAAATCATTTAGAGGGTCAGATAGAGCAGTGGGAGAACAAAGGAGGGGTCCTTGTGGGAAGTGGGGTCCCCTTGTGGGGAAGGCTTGGGAGTGAGAGGTCAGGATGGGTGCAGATGTGCACACCCACATCCCGTTTTTCCATAGGAGATGAACGCCCTGCGAGGCCAGGTGGGCGGTGAGATCAATGTGGAGATGGACGCTGCCCCAGGCGTGGACCTGAGCCGCATCCTGAATGAGATGCGTGACCAGTATGAGAAGATGGCAGAGAAGAACCGCAAGGATGCTGAGGATTGGTTCTTCAGCAAGGTGGGGGCTGCTGCAGGCCAGAGGTCTCTCTTAGGGGCTGGGGCTCGGGGGCCTTAGCACTGACAGTAAGCCACGGCCAGGTGTCTTGGAGGTGCCCCCTCCTCAGTAAGCTGCATGGATCACAGGATCACCCGCTGCATCAATGGACCTGGAGCTGAGCTCAAGCTGGGATCTGGGGGGTGGCGGGGAGATAGGGAGCCCCCACAGAATAAAGGCAGAGGGTAAAGACCCTGGGAGTCCCCACCTTTCCCTCAATAAGTCAGGAACTAGCACCAAGAGCCAGGCTACATGTTCTGACTGGTTCTCAAGTTTCCGGTTTGTGCCTCCCACACGCAGGGATTAACCATAAAAAGTTAACATTTCAAATGGCATGTTTCTGGGCTTTGGGATGTGGGAAGCTGGTGAGAAGGCACCACTCTCTCCACAGTAGATTTAGGAGGAGGCCTGACTCGGGAGAGGGATCTAGGCTCACACCGCCCTGTCCTGTGTCCTGTCTGCAGACAGAGGAGCTGAACCGCGAGGTGGCCACCAACAGCGAGCTGGTGCAGAGCGGCAAGAGCGAGATCTCGGAGCTCCGGCGCACCATGCAGGCCTTGGAGATCGAGCTGCAGTCCCAGCTCAGCATGGTAGGAACAGTCCTGTGCATGGGGGTGGGCCCAGAAGAGGGCACTGGCCACCCTCACTGACCCCTGGTCTTCCTGCCCTCCTACAGAAAGCATCCCTGGAGGGCAGCCTGGCGGAGACAGAGAACCGCTACTGCGTGCAGCTGTCCCAGATCCAGGGACTGATCAGCAGTGTGGAGGAGCAGCTGGCCCAGCTTCGCTGCGAGATGGAGCAGCAGAACCAGGAGTACAAGATCCTGCTGGACGTGAAGACGCGGCTGGAGCAGGAGATCGCCACCTACCGCCGCCTGCTGGAGGGCGAGGATGCCCAGTGAGTGGGGGCGCCTGGGGTCAGGGCTGGGGGCCTCTTGGCAGGGGTGGGGCTCTCAGACCCACATCTAATTTCCTCTCTCTCTCTTTTTTTTTCTTTCAGCCTGACTCAGTACAAGAAAGAACGTAAGCATCTTGGTGGCTGAGACCGTGGGGACTGGGTGCATGGGACAGGCAGCCCATCTGCACATTGCCGGGGCAGGGTCCCTGGGAGCTCCAGGAGTTGATGGCTGTTCCTCAGCAGGGGTGGGAGAAGTGATCTATTAGCACTGAGGATTGATACTCAGGAAAAGATCGAACGAGAGAGATACTGTCTGGTCTGATGGGGGTGGAGTAGGAAACTGGTCCTTACCTTGGAGATCCTAGTCTGATGGAGGAGACAGGTCCCAGCTCTGGAGATTGTCATCTGGTGGGAAGACAGGAACATGGTCCCATGATCTTTGCTCTTGACAGCTTTCGGATGAGCAAAAGCAGTCCTGTCTCTGGGGACTCTGGCCTGATGGGAGATAGGGACATGGTCCTTGTCCTCCAAATTCCAGTCTGAGGGAGAAGATATGATCCTAGCCCCAGGGTTCCTAGTCTCATGGAGGAGATAGGGGCCTGGCTTTTGTCTTGGCGACCCCAGTCTGATGGGGGAGATAGGAGCAAAGGACTGTGTCCTGGAGACTGCAGAGAAATGGAGATGGATTGCATGGAGTCTACATGGCTCCTCCCTGGCAGGACACACTGGCTCAGAATCAAATAACCCATCTGAGGAGGCAAGACTCACACAGGGCCACCGGCAGAGGGATGGGATGGAAGGGAGGCGGTGGCAGGGACAGAAGGGATGTGTGTGTAGTGTGACCTCGAAGTGCCAGTGGAGGCACTCACAGCACCTGGGGGAGGATGAGGGAGAGAGCCGGCTCCTGTCCATGAGGGCTATTGGGCAAGCGAGGGTCTCCTGGTCCCTACCCACTTTCAAGCGCCTGCTTCTCCTGCAGCGGTGACCACCCGTCAGGTGCGTACCATTGTGGAAGAGGTCCAGGACGGCAAGGTCATCTCCTCCCGCGAGCAGGTCCACCAGACCACCCGCTGAGGACTCAGCTCCCCCTGGCCAGCCCCCCAGGAGGCAGGGAGGCAGCTGCCCCATCTGCCCCGCAGTCTCCGGCCTCTCCAGCCTCAGCCCCCTGCTTCAGTCCCTTCCCCATGCTTCTCTGCCTGATGACAATAAAGCTTGTTGACTCAGCTCTGAAATGTGTTCTTGTTCTGGCCCCTGAAGTGGGCACTAGGGACAAAAGGGTGAAATGGGAAGGAGTGAGGGTGAGGGGAGATGGTGAGGGTGAGGGGAGATGGTGCTTAGACACCCACTGTTGTTGACTGGCAGGTCAGGGGTCAGCTTAGACCAGCATAAAGAGTAAGTCTGGGGAGAGTTTGGAGGGGGTGCTCGCATCTCCCAAGGGCTGGAGATTTTCAGGGGGTGGTCCAGGCTGTGCTAGACCCGGGGTGGAGTTGGTATATCAGGTGTGGTCCTAGGTGGCCTCTGCTTGCCCTGTGAGTAGCTCTGTGACCTCCGGAAGTTAGGCAGTCACTTCTCACTGAGTCTTGTTTTCTCAACCATAAATGGATGGGAAGATCTCAGGTATGGGAGCCTGAATCCTCAGAGATGACTCACTCAATCAGTTTGCTCCTCCCGGTCCTGCGGGCTGTGCCCTCCCCCTAGATGGGGCAGGAGGTGGGCAAGGGCTGGGATAAGCACAAAGGGAGGGTGGGTGGGGAAGGCAGCCTGGGTGGTTGGGCCCCAGACTCCTGTGTGAGTCTCAGGAAATCCCCAAGAGGGGCTCCCATTGCCTCTGCCCTGGGAATGTGAGCGGGAGGCTGGTGTTTGAGGGAAGGCTGCGGACCCCTGGCAGGTGTGGGAGAAAGGATGGGGCCTCTCTCAGGAATGTTTCCTCACGTGGTCAGCTGTTGCTCAGGATGGGGACGGGGCAGAGCGGGGGGCACTGCAGATGGGGTGGCTGTGCCCAGGGAGCAGTGCCACTCTCCCTGGCGGTCTGGACCTTCTTTGGTTCCCCACTAGGGACAGGGGTGGCATGAGGGAGGGTAGAAACTGCCTCCTAGGAAAAGGAGGAGGAACAGTCCTGCTCCAGCCACTCCTGGCACCCTCTGAGCACCAGCCCCAGCTCTTGCTCTTGGCAGCAAACGTGGCTGTGGGGAACAGTCTGTGGGAGGTGAGCCTGACACCTGGAAATCTTCCTTCTAGCAAATCCGGAAACTGCCAGGCAGGATGGCCTGCTTTCCTGGTTTTCTTCAAACAAGGGGTTAGTAGGAGGAGGGTGCCTCCACCTCATCACTGCTGGACCTGGGGTGTCATCAGACCAGGGCCCCCAAACACTCTCTCTCTCCTGGTGCCTGGAGGCTGGGGGTGGGGCCCAGGCCCGAGGAGAATGGGAGTGGCCAGAGCCCTCTGAGCCTGGGTTGGTGGTTGGTGGGGATTCGGGACTGGCAGAGGCCAGGGATGGGGGTGGGTACTGACCACTGGAGTATGGGCGACTTTGGGCTGGTCACAGGCCCTCCCTGGACTTCGGAGCTACGACATCCCGGGAGAGCGTTTCTCTCTGCAGGGGAGATGGCTGCCTGGAGTCGGGGACTTGCGCCTGCAGCAGCATCTGCACGACTCAAAGCAAGGGCAGGTTCTGCTCCGTCAGAGGCTGACGTCTCCCTGCTGTCTGGCAGCAAATGTGGCGCCATGGAGGGAAGGAGGGAGGCACTGTTTGCACCAGGCCCCCACCACACATCCTGCCACAACCAGAAGAACCAGCCCTGGGCTGCAGATGGCTCATTCTGGAGGGTGACTTCATTTATCTGAATAGTCCCAGGAAACAGGGAGGATCTGGGGGAAGGCGCCTCGTTGTGTGGATGGGGACACTGAGGCTCCAAGGAGCAGTGACTCAGCCCTTGTCCTGGAGCCTGGGCGGCCAATAATGGAGACAGGCACAGGAGGGGAGTGGGCCCAGCTTCCATGCTGGGAAGAGGAGCCGAGCCCCACCTCCTGCCCCACCTCAGGCTCCAGGCAGGGCTCTCTCTCCCTCCTGTAGATCCTGGGGTCCACAATTACCGATGGCGCGAGTGAGGAGGGGTCAGAGTGTGGGGAGGACCAGAGACAGCCCCAGACTGTGCCCCTCTGCTGGGGAAGAAGCCCCTCTTCACAAAGTGGGGCTGTGACAGCCCCACCTTCACAAGGGGGGCATCAAACATGCAGGAGGGGAGAGGATCCCCGGAGCTGGGCCTGGCACCCACAGATTTCCCCAGATCCCGGGAGCCGCCACAGGGGCAGAGCTTGGGCCTGGACATTTGTTCTCCCCCAGTGCCCCAGCACCCCATGGTCACCTGACATTAGTGTATTGGGATTGTCTTTACCACCTTCTTCCCCAGAAGACTATGTCTCCAGGGCTTCTCTGTCTCGATCTTTGAGTCTGAGTGCCCAGCACAGTGCCAGGCACCTAGTAGAGGCTAGGAGTCCAGAATGGGGGAGCCCCTCAGTGTGCCCAGAGAGCTAAGCCAGTAGAGGCAGTGGTTGCCAGGGGATGGTGGGGAGACTTGAGTGACTTTGTCCAAGGACCCAAGGGGACCCAGGCTACTGGAAACATGTGCCTGGGCTGGATTGGCGACCCAGCTATGGGACTCATGGAGGGACTCACAGTTCGTCCACACACTCCCTGCCCACTGCACAGAATGTTTCACCCCCTGTCATCAAGGCAGAAGCTGCGGATCTGTGGTTGCCCTTGGAGCTGCCACACCTGGTCTCGTGTGATGGACACACACATACGACTCTCAGGTCAGGCTCATGCCAGTGGTAGCCTGCCTCCGGACCCCCCTTGCAGGGGCTGACCTGGCAGCATGTCTTGTAGGGAGACAGATGTAGTGGCGGGGGACACTCATCCATGGCATGCCATCGCTCTGTGCCTGGTTTGCACTGAGTCCAGGGGAAGGAGGAGACACCGGTCCTGACCCTAAGAGACAGTGCCTGCCCCAAGGGAACCTGAGGGACTGACAATAGTCCCTCAGCCCATATGCAGTGTGGTTCTGTTGTGGCAACCCAGGTTTTGGGGAGATCAGGGGAACAGAGGGAGCAGAGCCAGGTGGGTTTACCCCATGCACAGAGCCGAGGGGATAACTGAGCTTGACAGAAGCCCATCCTCACCCTGAGCCGTAGTGACCATTTGAAGAAACATCCTGAGAGAGGCCCACTCTTTCCCTCACACCTCCCTGAGGTCCGCAGCCTTCCGTGGAGGCAGCAGCTTCCTGCTCACATTCCTTGGGTGGGGGCAATGGGAGCCCCTCTTGGGGATTTCCTGAGACTCACACAGGAGCCCAGGCCCTTGTTTGTGCAGAACAGGCACCCCAAGTGGTCCCAGGATGCTGGGGACATGTGCCTGGGCTGGACTGGGGACCCAGCTATGGGACTTATGGGACTCACAGTTCGTCCACACCCACCCTGCCCACTGCAGAGAGTGTTTCACTCCGTCATCAAGGCAGAAGCTGCGGGTCTGTGGTTGGATTGTGAAGGGCTGTGACAGCCCCACCTTCACAAGGGGGGCATCAAACATGCAGGAGGGGAGAGGATCCCTGGAGCTGGGCCTGGCACCCACAGATTTCCCCAGATCCTGGGAGCCATCACAGGGGCAGAGCTTGGGCCTGGACATTTGTTCTCCCCCAGGGACCCTGCGCCCTCTGTTTCTCTGCAGCGCCCCAGCACCCCATCGTGACCTGACATTAGTGTATTGGGATTGTCTTTACCACCTTCTTCCCTAGAAGACTATGTCTCCAGGGCTTCTCTGTCTTGATCTTTGAGTCTGAGTGTCCAGTACAGTGCCAGGCACCTAGTAGGTGCTTTATAAACACCTGCTGATAAACATAACTCTAGCTACCAGCCTTTGCCAGGTGCTTTATTTATTTGACCTCTAATCTCCTAATATGCCATTTCCCAGAGAAGGAAACTGAGACTCAGAGGGGCTGAATGTCCTGCCCAGGGTTTCGCCCTTGCTTGCCCCGATTCCAGGCTGCTCTGTCCTGGCTCGTTGGGGCTCCACTTTTCCTTCCTCCTGCCCTGAAGCCTGTGGCTCTGGCTTGTCCAGCTGGGGCTGGGGGCCCTGCAGCAGCCCCCTCTCTCCCCTCAGCTTCTCTGCCCTCCTCTCAACCCCCTAAGCTGCCTCCTGTCTGCCCAGCCTGAGCTGGCTGGGGAGCTTGTAAAACAGCCCCACCAGCAGGCTTGTCCTGAGCGGTGCTGATGCGGGAGTCGAAGGGCTGCGAATCTTCACAGGGACTCTGAGGATCTGTCTGGTTGGAGAATCACTGCAAGTCAAGGCGTGGTATTGGCTAACCGTGTTTCCCGGCCGCCTCAGGTATGCCATGATCTCATGCCTCATGCTTGACATTGGCAGGACGAAGGAGGGAGGGAGGAGGCAGGGCATGGGGAGGAATCCTCTGCCTGGAGGATGCCCACTGGGCTTCTCTGTGCTCACCAGGCTTAGTGGTCCTGGCTTTTGGTCACCTTGGGGCAGGTATGCATCACTGGTGCAGAGGAAACACCTCTTCCTTCTCTGTCAGCTCAGATCCTCTGAGGCCCTGCTGGTGCCTCCCTCTGCTAGGACCCTTCCAGAGGTCAACGCCAGGAGCGCAGCCCCCTCCTCTACTGCTGAGGCTCAGGGGGGCAATGCTTACTCCAGTTGCCTCCTGTGGTGTAGGTGTGGCAGGCAAGCCCAGCACCCCAGGGCTCCTGGCCAGGTTCTATATTTTCCACTGTTAGTTTTCCCTCCAGCGTCAAATGATAAGTTCTTCAAAGGTCAGAGACTATGTCACCTTCACCCCCAGCCCCCGAGAGCTGTGCACAGGGCAGGTGCGTGATTTATGGAGTTGGCTGAGCAGTTTGGCGCATTGGTCAGCAACTTCCTGCAGTTTCTCAGCCCAGGCAGATCCCCAGGCCTGCAGTGCTGGGCTTGTGTGTAATCCCACCCTGACACCTCCTGGAATGGGGAACTTGGCGGGGGGGGCAGTGCGCCAATGAGAAAGCGGTGAGTGTGCGCGCACACACGATGGGGGCAGGGAGTGAAGAGTTCACAGAGACTCCGCTGCGAGAGTCGGTGTGAATCCTGGCTTGGGAGGTGGAGCTGGCTTGACTCTCTGCTCTCTCACTTTTGGGCTGCTTTACTTGGATAAGGATTTCACCCTCTCCGGTTGGGGTAATGATA